GTATCTTTTAATAATTTTCTAAAAACGTTTTGAGTTTGCAGGCTCTTAGTCTCCATGATTAACTATTGACCATCTTGTATTTGCTTGAGATCAAATTGTATAAACAAATCTTTCAATGCTTTCTTGCAAAAGAATTTTCTATGTAATACCTTCCAGAATGATATGCAATGAAGCTCTTATAATCAGTAGTCGTTTGAAAATTAACATAATACCCATCATTGTTTTTATCAAATTTTAAAACCTTTATAAGGTATATGATTTTCAATTGGTAAAGTCATATTTCTAATAACGATGGTGCTTCATAAATTTTTATCTGATAATACTAATGGATATTTAACAAGGCTTTGTATAATTCCTTTTATCAAAATTTAAATGATTAAGCCCTACCAGATAGAAAAAAGCCACATAAGCCCCACAAATCATAGCGTAGTATGCTTCTTGTTTATAATTTAAATGATTTTTAATATTGTATCTTATACCAGTCGACTGTTCTTTTTTACTTTTAATTTCACTTGACCATGTGGCTGTTATAGGTGGTAAACTACTCATAAAATAATCATTCTCTGTGACATACAATCTAAAGTTACAGATATCAACATTTACCGGCCTTTGAAATGTAGGTTTTACAATAAATTTTGATACCATCGATGTAGCATATGATCGAAATAATCCTCAGAATGACCTTCATCTCCATTTATTGCTGCTATTAGATTTGAAAACAAAGGCGTTTTAGTTGTTTCTAAATATATTTTGGCCATGTTGTACATTTTTGAATCATCATCCTAATTTTATAGCATTTTCTTTCTATTTGCTTGTCTGACATATAATATAAGCTATATTATATATGAAGTTCACTATTTTATAGACGGAGATAGTAAAAAATTGACTTACAAAAGTATAGTAACTAACTATTCATATTTATATATCAAAAGCTTATGTATTGGGATATAAAAATGTAAAATTAAATAATACTTTAGCTTTTACAATAGGCAACAAAATATAATATAGATGCTGGTTACTGGACTTTTAAAATGCTTAAAACGTTTCTTGAGTCTGTTAACGTAAAGCTTGAGATGGTAGAAAACAATGGAACTTGTAAAATAACTAATAATAATGACGAAATATTAGTATTGTCTGATACTCTTATTATTAAAATGTTAGGTTTTAATGATACTATAAAACTATGAAAAAAGGTATCGTACAAAATGGTGTTTCTAAAGTGGATATAAACAGAGGATTAAACTATATTCAAATTTCTTCTAATATTGTAAATTCAAGTTATAATTATAACCCTGAAGGAAAAAAAAGTAATATAGCTTTAACTTTACCAGTAATAACAATTCAGTCGTTATATGGTACTGTTTACGAATACAATGATATTGAATCTAAAGTTACAATTATAAAAGGAGCTTTTAACGAGCTACTATTTAATATATTAGATCAAGATGGTACTCCTGTTAATGTAGGCAGTATTCTACTTGAATGTTATCTTGAGTAAGTTAAATGGATGAAGACATTAAAATTGAGCAAAGTTTAAGAGATATTTATTATAATCCACAAACAGGATATCAATCAGTAGAACGGCTGTATCAGAAAGCATTAGAAGAAGGTATAGATGTTAGTAGGAAACAGGTTAAAGAATGGTTAATATCTCAAGATACATACACTAGATATAAACCTATTATTAGGAGACATAAATTCAGACAAACAAGGGTACACTATCTTGGTGAACAAATACAAATGGATTTAGTTGATATGGGTTCTTATAAGTATAAAAACAATGGTTATTATTGGATATTAACAGCTGTTGAAATATTAAGTAGATATGCATTTGCTATCCCTGTTTATAGAAAAGACACAAATAATATGACAAAAGCTGTTGCAAAACTATTAAGTCAATTTAAAGATAGATTTAATGACTACCCGAAACTAGCTCAATTTGATGATGGTAAAGAATTTTATAATATAGGTGTCAAATCATTATTAGAGAAACATGGAATTAAGTACTTTTCTACTAAAAATAGTAAAAAAGCTTCTATTGTCGAACGATTCAACAGAACGCTTAAAACATCTATGTGGAAATATTTTTACAGTAAAGGAACATATAAATGGATTGATATATTAGATGATTTAGTATATAATTATAACAATACAAAACACAGTACAATCTTGATGAAACCTAAAGATGTTAATAAAAATAATGAAGATGAAGTATGGAATACATTATACGGTTATGAAGTTGCTTATTTACCATTACCTAAGATTAAAATTGGTGATATGGTTAGAATATCAAAGTATAAATCTATATTTACGAAAGGCTATGAAGCAAATTTTACAGAAGAGTTGTTTAAAGTGACTAAAGTTATTAGAGGAGATCCGAATTTATATGAGATAGAAGATTTAGAAGGAGAGCCTATAATAGGTAAATTTTATGAAGAGGAACTATCAGTTGTGAATAAGAAAGATGATGTTTATAGAGTTGAAAAGATATTAAAACGTAAGAAGGTTAAAGGTAAAAGATGGTTTTAGTTAAATGGTTAGGTTATGATAATAAACATAACAGTTGGATTCCTGAAAGTGAAATACAAAATATAGAGTAATCTATATAATGGCAGAAGGAGGTTTTGATTATATTGAATTAGAAGATAAGAAGCAAGAAGATAATAAATGATAATGAAGATAATAACGATGATGAAGATTGGCAAATTTTAAATTTATTGATGAAACATCATTTATGATGATAATGATGGTGTAACAATAACAAAACAAATACTAATACTCTTCCTGATGTTCCTATTATTCCACTCCTGTTTATACAAATATTAATAGACCTGAAAATGAAGTTTCTTTGCTGTTGAAAGTTTCATTACAAAAAATTATAGAATAGTGTTTAGATTTAATCATTTAAAAGGTATTGCATATGATGAAGGTATAAAACTTAGATTAAATTTAGGTAGAACTAATATAAATAATATTACTTACAGACCATTAAATAAAAACAATGAGCGAGGTGTTGAAAGAATTATTTTAACACGTAATAAATGGTAGATTAAAATACAATAAAAAAAGTGTTAAAGAAGCTGTTAAAAATTTAAAAAGAAATTAACAGAATTATTAATTTGCAAAAGGAATTTATAAAAACTGAAGAGAGTATGCCTATGGTTGATTTAAATAATCAATATACAGATAATTTCAATCAAATAACTAATCAAGAACTTAGAGAACATATAGGGGTAATGACCCCCTCTGGAACTATTGATAAAAGAACACGCCCGCAATTCATAGAAGCACAAATAAATCACTTTACTGAAGAGCTAAACAAAACTCAATTTAGAATAAATGAAATAGAAGAAAATGAAAATGAAAATGGTATTGACAACAATATTGATGAATTAACTAATTTGCACGAAAGGGCTTCAGAATTAGAAACTATAATTAGAGAAGAAGAAGAACAATTAGAGAAAGAAGATGTACTAGAGGAACAGGAAGAAGACATTACTAGATTACAACGATTTAAAGAATGGGTTAAGGAAAATATCCCAGGATTATCAGCTTTAGCTAGTATAATTACAACCATTGTCATAGGAGCTAGAAAAGCAATCCTGCAAGGTGCTCAAGCTACTAGTAAATTTTCTAAGGCTGTAGCAAATATAGTAAAAAAATTATGGCCATTGTTAGGGCCATTATTGAATATTATCGCTCAGACTATATCATGGGGGGCTAAAGGTATATCATGGTTAGCTTCTAATCTATGGATTTTAGCTATTGCTGCTGCTTTGTTAATATATGATCAGTATAAACAAAGAAGAAAATAAAATATGTTTTAATATATATATGAACAGATTACAAGAAGAGCTTTTACCTAATTTTAAAAGAATTAATATGACAAAAATTAAAGGTACCCGTACTTTTTATAGTATAACCTTTAATCCTAATAGTGTTAAACCTAATGAACAAATCTATGTTAATGTGCCTAAATTAAAATCAGATAGTTGTTTAGTTCCTGGTTCGCTTAATCTATCATTTGATCTTAAAATCAGTAATACAAAAAGTCACTTTCTAAATAATCTCAGTAAGATTTTACAGCATAGACTACAAATTAAAGTGGCAGGAGAGACTCTTTACGATTGTTGTGAACATAATATTATAAGTGTATACAAAGACCTGTGGTTGCCTAAAAG